GTAGATGTTACCCTTAAAATCTTAAATGGGAATGGGGCTCAAGCGGCACATCGTTTTAAAGGCGGCGTTCAAGCAAGCCACCTCTGAGGATGCAAGCCCCTCCTGCTCGCAAAACGTCAGAAAGAAATTAAAGTTTACGACGGCTTAAAAACGCGAAAAATATGTAAAGCGATGTGCCACCTGACCCATAATCTCATTTAAGATTCTAAGGGTAACATCTACCCCTCCTAAGCTAAAAATATTCATTTAACGTGTCCCCCTTACAAATAAAATTGACGTGTCTTTCCGATTTTTCACATTATTAACTGCAAGAAAGATATTAAGGGTGGGAAGTTTTCAAATTGACACCCCGTTTAAGGTAAAATTAAAGCTTTAAATGATGTGCATGCAAGCAGAGTTTTCGCTCATTGGTTGTCAAAGAAGTGCACCAACCAAAACCATAATTAACGTTTAAGGCTAAAAATCAGAGAAAACTTGAAGATATCGAACATTTAATAATAGGGAGTTATTAGAAATCATTAATACTGTAATAAAAGGTTCATCCTTATTTTAATACTGCATTTGCGTTATTTCTCTAACGAAATTTATTGGAATGCCTAGTTCACTGCTTTCAGCAGAGACAAGTAATAGTTATCCCTTGTCTGGCTTCCAGTATCCACCAATGACATACTTTTTTTTGTTTTCCCCGCAGCTGGAGGAATAAAACATATTTGCGAAGACACCCAGTGTTCCGAACCCTGGGTAGTGTTGAATTCTTACCAACTAAAAATTCCCTTTTTGTACTACGAGTTTTCGGGTGTTATCCTTTAAAACTTGTAGTCCTTTAATAATTTGTCAGCTCCGGCATCCGTATGCCATAGCATCGCATTCTCTCCATGTTAGCTCTTGCTAGCATGGGCATCTTATTAATTTAACGCCTTAACTTATACATGCATGCTACTTACTACAAACATTACGTTATCAGCACGCTTACAGCTTACGCCGTTTGTTACCTGTTGTTCTAGTGGGCCCTTTTTTCCTGAGGCCCAGATGTTCAGGAGTGTAGCTTACAAGGTTTCGCAGCTCTTCGTTGGAGCGCTTTCCAGCTTTCTCAAAGTCTGCTTTCGCTTTCCTTGCGGGAAACTCTCTTAGTGGCACCCACTCCAGGTGCCTGTAGATTTGGGAGTTTCTAACAAACCGGGGCGCATCTATGGCCATCCGCAGAAGATTGTTTTCTGTGGCCTGAAGTCTATTCAAGTGACACCCGGCTGCATATCCCCACGCAGTGGAGGCATACGCCAGTGTCGGCCTGATTATGGTCATGGTGAGGAGTAGCTTGTTCCTAATACTCATCTGGCTTCTTCGATTGAGGAGTGGGTACAACTTGGCAGTTGTTGCCTTATCCTTGGCGATGGTTGTTTTTATGTGCTTCTTCCAGATCAGCGGCTTATCTAAAACAACACCCAAATATTTAATATCTCTTTCCCATTCGATGTTTTCTCTCTATGGTGATGTTGCCATCGACTGCTTTCTGCCAATAGGTATGGCCTGGCTCCTCTCTGCGTTTATCTTCAGCTTACACTTGATGAACCACTGATGTAGTTCGTCAATTGCAAGCTGGATCTGTTGCCTGATGCAGTCCTTGCGCCATGAGGATGTTAGAAGGGCCGTATCATCTGCAAAGAGTGCCAAGGCCATATTGGCAGGTCTTGGAATATCGCTTGTATAATGACATACTATAACAGTACTCTTAGTATAGTATACCATTGGTATCCACAGTAGTCACATGTCGCAGAGGCTAGTGATCTGTGGATTTAACCTGCAAGCGGAGAAATGTCAACTGCCAGTATAAGGTAGAAATAAAGCTTACAGTATTGCTGCACAAATAGCACAGAACATTGTCATTATTAAGGGGTCCCTTATTTTTAGACTCAATTGCGCAGGCGTATCAGTCAAAATACTACAAACTTTATTACTGCATGTCCTATTGAGCGTCCAATAACTCTCTAATAATGTGTATTATCTTTAGTCAGCAAAATTTATAAATTATTTGATTTTTATTTCTAGTCATAACCCGTGTCGTTGTAAACTGATTAGATGTGGATGCTCTAATCTTCTTAGTTCTTTCTTGTCAGGACAATTAAATCCATCAACATTTTTCACACCTATTCATTCTTTCCAGGGCAGATTCAGTACTCTGCAAAATATTCAAACCACTCCATATATGTAACTAAATTATTATTACAGTGTTAAGTAAGTATTTAGAGGCCAAACTCTATATTCAACTATAGGACCAAATATTTAGAAGACCCCTCCTTCCATATCTGTTAGTGGATGATGAATTTGTTTGTTTCGCTTTGAACTTTACAGCTTTTAGCTTTGGGCTTGTTCTCTATTCAAGCAAAGCTTTTAGGAAATCTTTTTTGGAAGATCCATCATTGTGCCATTTTTATAATAATTCGTTTCAAAGCCCAAAGGAGAAGCCTGAGAAAGGCTGATTTCTTCTTCATCCAATTATAATCTGCAAATAAAAATTTCTTTTTGACAACCGTATTCTATAGACAGTCGTTGAGTTTCTTACTCTTGTGTTGTTTAAATTTTTTAATAATTTAGTAAATGGAAGTTTTTTCTTCTCAGCGTCTATGATATACATTATTTCCCGTATTTTGCGCTGGAAAATAAGGTGTTGACCAACATTTACAAAATTTTATTATTACCTTTAATCATTTTTCCCCACAGAATGAAACGTACTTAAAAGTCCCTTAAATCTTATTCCCTATAATTCCAAAGAGGTTGGCAGACCACTTTTATTTGCTGATTTAATGATGCAAAACACTTTCCCCTGAAATCGAGTCTCGAACAAATTTTTCTTTTCAGAAAATTCTCATGGAAGCCTTGTTAAAATTTTACAGAATTGAGACGTACATACTTTGGGAAAGTTCAGTGTGAAGGAAAGTTAGCTCGTTAAAATTAAGGAGTTTGAGGAGTTTGCATGCTTCGCCTGGGAGTTTTCCCAGGCTTTGGCAACATCGAGTTGTGAAAATCGATTGTGTATAAATGGAGAAAAGCAATAGATTAAATATGTGCCTTTGAATTACCAGGGTTGGCAATAAATAGGGATCTAATGGTAAACATATTGCGGGGGAATTTTATTGGAAATTATCCTTGATTTCTCAGGGGATGTGGGATGATTTTCGCTTAAGTCATTAGTGTGGCATCAGGCTAATTTATCAAAGGTATTAAAAAACTAATTGCTAACGTTTAGTCTAATTATAGGCTGAAGCCTTACAATATTTAAAATAATATGTATATGTTTGACTAGAAATATTTACGGTTGTTTTTGTAGACCCAGACAAAAGGAAATGCCTATTACATCTATAAATCTATCTGGGCCAAAATTTGAAGGCCGCAAGGTAAGCAGGCAAATATATATTTTTGGTGTCCCACAAAAAGTTTTGGCTAAAGATAACTCTAGTTTTGATTATAAATAGATTGAGGTTTTTGGACGATATTATCAATCGATGAGGTAAGCGTTTTTATTGGTCATTACTAAATTTTATTTAGCCTAGAATTATACTCATCATACTATCGATTATTTAAAATTTGATGAAAAAGTTATTTTTAGTATACTTCGCCTTTTCGGGTTATAGATTTTTACCAAATAAAAATCCGCAGTAAACTTGGCCTACTTTTACTATGATGAGGCTTTCCCTATTTATGCCTTTTGCGGACACGGACATTTCACTCTGTTAAACGAGTTTGATCAGTACAGTTTTCGTCCTTCTCTAAATAGCAGGAAGTGACTTAATAAAATTCGTTGTGTAAAATAGAGATTTATTTGGCACTCTTCCAAGGTCTTATCTTTAATTCACAATTTCTACTAGGACAGCTATAACGTAAATTCAACGTTTTAATATGAAAGGGTTCTAATCCAGGATTCCCTAATGTTGCTCATGGATCGCCATAAGGGATTGGAATATATCTGGACTTAAATAGGTTAAACCGAGTCTATAGTTTCTATGAGAAGTGGTGGGTAATTTTTTATATATTAAGTATAAAGCAATATATGTTCCTCGTTGCATCAATTTAATTAGTTATGATTTGCTTCAAATAGTTCGGAAGCTACCTCTTTCAACTAATGTAAACTTTTTATTTTCATCTGAATTCGACAAGCTAGACACGTAAAGGAAGGTGGTTAAACTCTATTAATTACAATGATTTTAAAATTAAAGCAACATTTTTCCTTCAATCAATTTTCAAACAAATTAAATCTAAGATGCTCATTACATTAGAAATTGTACTTACTCGTAATTACACTAAGTTACATTAAAAACAATGTGTTAAGCCTCGCGTTCGATTTTAAGTTATTTGTTTATTATTATGCTAAGCAATAGGCAACAGCTTTCTACCTACCTTTGAAGTATACCTTAAAAGTTGACGGTAGTCATCAACAACAAAATAAACAAAAATCAAGTCAGATTTTTTTCCCTTGATCATTACATTTCACCCAAAGACGTTTCACAATGTATTTCTGCAGGCCAAGGCTGATCAAATAACTGGAGTTTTTTAGCATACAATTAACGTATGTTTATGCTAGCATACGAGGTAAAAGATATAAGCGATCTCACAAAAATTACACCTTCTAAGGTGTGTCTATCAAAGAAAACTAAAAAGGTCGGTAGTTACATCAATACAATTTGACCTAATTAAGTGTTTCGTATTTCTGGCTTTGTGCGAACTCATTAATTTACTTTCCATCCCATTTATTAGTTCGTAAGCTGATGTTCGTCAATTTTCAGTCAAATCCTTTTTTCCGGCTTCAATTGTTTCGACTAATGTTACGGTGAAAATAATGGTCTTTGAAAATGCTGATAATTTATTTTGCAAATTTCCATCAGAAGTGGTTCAAATAAAATTCTAACTTATGCGCCACAGGGAAATGAATACGAACTAGATTGTAAACTTTAACTATTAAAAGCATTATTATTTTAATGTTCTAATAATTTTTTTTGTTGTTTCAGATTTCCGAACGGGTACGATCTGAGTCCTCATTTATGATGTGAGTGTGCTAAAATGATTTCATCTATATATCAATATATTCATTTCCGATAAATCTTTATGAGATAACAGTTATAAATGAAAAATTCAAAATGAGTTAACCGCAAACACATTGAGTCAATGGTAATCGGAATTTAATACATTTCTTGCAGCATCAAGTAAAAAGTAGTAAAAAAACGTTTCACATTTTTCACCCGACCGAGTTATACAGGGTGTGCGACTGGGAACCGCCGCGATCGATATCTAGCAAACTATAATTAGGAGAAATTTTAAAATTGAACGAACAGTGTGCCGAAGTCGTAGGGGGCAAGCTATCTGAAATATTTTCAAGATGGCCACACTACCTGTTATACAGGAAGTAGGTATCAACTTGCTTATTGTAAATGGACCACTCTATATATTATTACATTTTGAAATTCTGCTTCAAATTCTAAATATCTTGCATGTATAAGATTTATTTGAAATTTTATGTAAAAAATGACACTGTAGCCACTCGAATAATTATTCATTTTTCTTTAAGGAAATTTATGCTACTTAATTTATTGTTAATGTCCATTAAGGGACTTACTTTAATGGTGTTATGGCAACTAAAAGTGACAGGATTTAAAACAAGATGCGGCAAAATAGCCATATGAAAACATTAAATTGGCAATATTTCGAAAACTAAACACTTTTAGCATAGAAAACTTTACACAAACTTACACTTATTTTTAATACTAAATAAGACAAAATTGTCAAAAATATGGGTTTTCAATTGAAAAAAAATTTGATTTTGGGCGGTTTTCTCAACTGTATTTTGAAACTTTGTGTTAATAGTTATCAACATTTTGTCGAAATTCCATTAAAGTAATTCCTTTTCAGCGAGAAATGCACTCAAATTAAATAACACATATTCCTGTAAGAAATATAAATCATGTATTTAACCGATTTGTTAATTCTAGAAATAAAATATATAAATATATATATAGTGTTCTATTTACAATAAGCAAGTTGATAGCTACTTGCGGCAAAACGGGAAGTGGGGCGATCTTGAAAATATTTTAGATCGCTTGCCCCCATAACGTCGGCACACTGTTCGATTTTCAAATTTTTCCTAATTGTAGTTTACCAGATATCGATCGCGGCGGTTCTCGGTGGGACACCCTGTATAGCCCCACAAGCAAACTACATGCCAATTGGATTTTGCATGTGGCCAATGTAGATGATATTTTCAGAATGAAAACTAGGAGCATTTATATTTCGATTTTTGTCGAAGCACAATAATCCGATGTAATCCGATTTTTAAAATCCTTCAATTATCGATAATTCGATTGTCACATAATGCGATTATGCCCATCATCACACAATCGGCTTTATATAGACTCAGCATTGAATGTAGAATCGCATTTAGATATAATAAAAATCTATCGAAACCATCTTGGAATTCGGCACGATTGTATTTAATAATAAAAAATCTCGTAATCTGCACCTACCCACCAAAAGTTTCCTTATTCTTGATGTTGAAGATTTTTATTCCATCTGGATTATGTTTAAGCTTTGTAAGTAAGCCTTGCATCGAATGCTTAATAACTTTTTTTTCTTAAAAAATCTTAATTAAGCTCGGTCCTACTAATAATTCAGCATTTCCAATCCTTTTTGTGCAAATTTCTCAGTTTCTTGGTTGAACTTCAATGCATGAAACTGATGTACATTTTGTACTGGTACTTAGTAGAGTTTGTTTTATTCATCAAGCGATAAATAAATAATTTAGTTGATTCTGGGGTTTTTCTTAGTGGTAACAATATTTACTACGCGCGGTGTAATTTCCACAGGTATTGCTGGTATTTACTGCCATTTGAATCAACGTTTACGTCTGAAACTACAATTTTTCCTCGGTATACCAATAAATATGCGTTTAACGGGACTTGATTCGTTGTTTTCACTATTTTCCCTAGACCCGTGTTGGCGGATTTCAATCAATTTAACAAAAGCATCCTAAGCATCTAGTCAGCTTTTGTCCTTGTATGAAGATTTACTACGGTCCTAATCAAGTTCACTTGTTGATACATGCATGGTACCTCGTATCCATCAAATTATGTTTATAATTATTGCGTACGTACAAGACTGTGTTGTACGATTTTCCCAAAATCTCAATTTGCAATAATTAACCCTAGAATGCCAACAGCCCTTTCAGTTACCTGCCATAAGTGCTTCTGGGAAATTGCGAGGGGATTAACTCGATGATCTAATATCAGAGCTTATTTAATCACGGTAAGCAAATAGTGTTTAATATTTCGCATTACATCGACTTCAATTTGAACAAAATTTGTTCTGGCGCATATTATATTTACAACGCAAAAATAAGGATGTTTAATATCTGACTTACCAATCGAAAGTATGTTTAAAGTCGATTTTTTTGTTCTGCAAGTGTTCACCTTGGCATTAATCAACTAAAAAAACTGAAATAAAAACACTGAAGGTTGAATTCAACGCAAATTAGGCCGTGCTTTGGAAATTATTTTGAGTTTTAAGTGGATTTCAATTGTTTTCCAATCAGCAAACGTGTAGGTCCGTATATCCGTAAGCAAATTGCGGAATAATTTATTTTTATGGTACAAGCAGTGGAGGCTGAAATTTAATTAAGGATTTCTAGAATTAACAAATCGGTTAAATACATGATTTATATTTCTTACAGCAAACTTGGTTACCAAGCCGTATAATAGTTACACTGCAAAATTCTATGGACAAATTTCCAATTTCTCAATCTTGCAAAATCGGTTAATACGAATTTTACAGCGTTTACCCGAAAATAAGTTTGTTTGAATGTGTTTCAATCGAATAATCTTGTTCGAAAAATCATAAACCATGATACCATAAAACAATATACCTAATGTGTAAAAATAACTACAGGAAATTCTGAAACTTTTATTGCTCATTTGAATTTCCTATCGAATAAACAAAGTTTCATTTACAGAACGAAAGCGCTATGAACTTTTTCTTTAATAAACCTTTTACTGTCTATAGAAACACTTTATTCCTACGAAAAGGACGTTAAATTTGCTAATTGAAAATGGGATTCAATATTTTCTAACTTTCTGGAAATATCGCCTGTTTTTTCATTTCGTCTGTTTTTTTCAGCAATTCAAATAATGTTCATGAATATTTGATAAAGTGTTGACAGGCTTCTTTTGACTTTACAAGCAAACACGCTATTATGTACATATTTGGAAATGAATGTCACGCTGAATGATTCTACAAACATTTTGAAAGCATAAATCTTTTGTCAGTCTATATTTCTGTATAGAAAAATACTCCCAGACCATATTCAGTTTTTATCAAAAGGCAATGCGAATAATTGGCCACATCCATGTGGATAAATAATCCAGCTAATAGATATGGAATTTGCAAAACGAAGGTTGAGGAATTGAAGGCAGCAATCATTCCTTAAATGGACGTGGTTTTTATAATGTTTGTTTCGACTCTGGAGTACCAAAAACAAAACAATGATGGAGTAAAATCAAGCACACGGTTGGATAATTTTAAACAATAACTAATAATCCCCATTTAAAATTCGTTTAGACATTAAGCATAGAATCCTTGTTCCGGATTTCATTCGGGTCGTCATTTTTTTTATTTCATTTTTATTCATGTAGTAGAAGCTTGGGTTTCTGCTCCGTTAAAGTCTGGAGTCATTTTTAACATCAATGTAGGTAATACTATCCATTATGATCTTAGCATATCATAAGGTTATTGTTAAAAATTATTTTTGCGTTGATTATTGATCATTGACATTTCCTCGATGAAACAAGTTCCGTGATGCCCTACAAATTTAGTTTCCCTTCATAAAAGTGGACATTTATTCGGGGAAATCTGTCTTGCATGGGCTCACGATGAATTTTTAAAGTTTTGCCAATGATTATTTATAAACAGTGACCCTTCGCAGTATTACCCCAGACCCGAAGAAAGGAAAATGAAGGAAAGTCATAAAACTAGACGGCGTTATAAATTTCCTTTCGTATATTTTCTCCGGTTAGTGATTGAGCAATTTAGAATGAAATCTGAGATTTGAATTAAAAAATGTTTCGTACTCATTAATTGATTAGACAAAAAAACGAAAGCGCCATATCGTGGAAGTTTGTATGGCGTATTATATTGTCAGAGGGTGAATGGCTCGTAATATCCGTATCTGAAATAAAAAACACTCACCGCTTTGTGTTGATATTAGGTAATTTGTTATTGTCTACGCTGGATAAAAATAGGAAAACAATTAACTTGATTGAAAACATTGTATTCGTTGAGGGGTTGCTGAGGTCAAACTAAGACATGTTGTGACTGGTTTATTAAACTTATTAAAGCTTTTATCATTTGTGCTAATGTGTATCTATTTCGATAACGCACAAACTTTCAGACGGATGTATAATTTCAAAGATGCATTTTGTCTTTATTTTTAGTTTAGCTCATTTTAACGGAAATAGCTAATTGAAATAACTCAATTATGTTGAGATACAGCCAGGAAAATGCAATGGAAATTCAATCAAAGCTTGGAATCGATAAACGATTTACCTATCTGTTTAAACTTTTGGTAAATAGAATCAGGAAAACAACGCTTGATCTAAATTTTGAATAGTGAGTAATTCGAGGTGCTGGTTATACGAGAGTTTAACTTTCTGCCGGCAATTGAGATAGTTCGGTTATTTGCAAACGAGTTTTGTTAAAGTTAATTGTCCTGAATCTATATTACTGTATGCCCAATTTTGGACAATTGGTGTGATAAACTTTACTATTGAAAATCCTGCTTTTTCATATCAGTTGATAAAATTGGTTGGTAGAAGGGAATGTTAAGCATCCATACAATTGTTTTTTTTATTAAAATTTCGAGACAAAAGAGAGACGAAAGAAAGGTCGAGTATGTCAAAAACACGCTCTTCAAATCTGATCCTCTGATAATATTATATATTTAACATCCAACGCAAGCGAAAAAGGTCGATTTTTACGATCGGAAACTTGTAATGTAGTTATTAT